AAAAACCCAATTATTGTAGAAATGGATAACTAGTAAAATGTGTGTGAGGATCCAAGGTGGGAGGATGGTAGAGGGGCACAATTATAGGGTTGTACAATTTGATAGGTAGAGGGAGGGGTAGGTTAAGAAAATGGGAAATATCTGGTGTGAAAAACTATATGAATTTTGTATGTAAATAAGTATAAAATAACAAGTTTATATTAAAAAAAGAACACCAAACTTCTTTGTCTACAAAATACTGTTTTGTAATATCTAATAACAAAATAACTTTCTATAGACCGCCCGCTGGAAAATAGTGATCAAACAGCTATGGAAGTTTTCAATACTACTAATGAGGCTATAATCTTCATCTGCCCATACTTTCAAATGAATCTTTTTGGTTTTGTTCTTTCTACTTTCCTAGATTGACAGATCCCATTCCCACCACAGAAACTTCAATTGCACCCCGCCAGAGGCCTAAAGCTGGGCAGACTCAGCCAAACCCAGGAATCCTTCCCATCCAGCCAGCCTTGACACCTCGGAAGAGAGCCACCGTTCAGCCTCCACCTCAAGTGACAGGTTAGTGACAGAATTAATTTGAAACATGGGAGTGATCTGAAGATTATAAGAAACTGTTAGAACTCTTTCCTTGTTTTGCTTCATCAAAACCAGATAACATAAAAAATAAAAATTTTCCTGAATAAGGAGATGAGCTGCCATCCACATAAATGAAAAGGACCTAGAAAAATAGCTACATTTTTCATTGCATTCACAGATGAGTTTCCAAAATGAGTGAAGTCTGTTGCTTCTGTTTTTTCTTACTTTGATTTTGTAGTTTGGTCCACTCCTTGTGTGCCTATGTCTTTAGTTCATGTGCTGCTGCTACTGCTGCTTCATGTACCACTAAAGAAATAAGCCTTGCTTTTTTCTTTTTCTTTTTTTTTTTCAACATTCACAGTAATTGTTTCTTTAATATTTGGACTGTTTATCTAAACTCTGTGCTTTGGTATTCTTTTTCTAATGAGTTGGCTGAGCTTGGTTTCATAATGAAGATTGATGCAAATTATTCATTACCTGAACACAGTCATCCCTCTCCAACCGAGAAGCTGTCTTTTGTGAATTTAGGTATCCAAGGATTATTTGTATCTACATGTAAAACATTGAAAAAATACAGCATTCCAACAAGTGCAAATAGCCTCAAGGATCATTTATAGATATCAATACTTGGGTACTAAGGAAATAGTTAACAAGTATGATGAAAAAGAAGACATTTTCTGAAAAGCAAGTATTGAATCCTGTTATACAGCCTTGTTTTGAAAGATACGAAGTGTCCTGTTTGGCTGGAGAGAGAAAGACCTTCCAGATGGAACAGAGCAAAAAATAGGAGCACAAAGATAGTGAAATTATCTGCTCACCTATTACCCCTTTTTTACTGCTTTGACAGAAAAGCAAAATTACTTTATCTGAAAGAATTTTAGCCCTTATATGGAGTTTATTCTCATTGCAGGACCCAGCAGTCAGCCGGGCCTTTTAGCTGCTGTTCCTCAACCAAAAACCCAACCCCAGCCCAGCCAACCTCTGCCGCAACCCCAGCCCAAGCCGCCACAAGCTCCTCCAACCCCTCAGCAGACCCCTTCTACTCAGGCTCAGGGTCTGCCTACCCAGGTCCAGGCTACACCCCAACACCAGCAGCAGCTCTTCCTCAAGCAGCAGCAACAGCAGCCGCAGCCGCAGCCGCAGCCGCCACCAACACAACAGCCAGCAGGCACATTTTATCAGCAGCAGCAACAGTCGCAGCCGCAGCCGCAGCCGCAATCACAGCCGCAGCAGCCACAGGTGCAGCAGGTAAGTTAGTCAAAACCTGACTCTTACATATCCCAGTCATCTCTATGAAAACCCCCCACACCGTAGGGGTATCTTCCTTGGGGATCTGGTTTGTTTTAGTCAGGATCTCCATGAGAACAAGTAAATAGTATATTTACTTACTGCTTCTAGTTACATTTTAAAATTCATTTATTTGCATGCTTTTGTTGTAGAGCATTCATTTTGACAACTAGTTTTAACCAAGAGTGAATTCCCTCCATATTTCAAGCCATCTCTCTCACCATGTTTCTTTTTTATTAGCATTTTATAGGTAGATATTTTCTGCTATCTTTTTATAAATCCCCTTTTATTCAGAGGGTTGGTTCTCTGCCTTCCTTCTTTCTCCCTGCTTTTTGTCGTTCTTTCTTTTTTCTTTTCTTTCTTTCTTCTAAGAAATTTGCGTCATTTTCCCCTTAGTATTTTCTACATTCTGAATTTAGCTGCTGACATCTTTGTAGGGTCATTTACTGTGTTCTGCTGTGAGAACTAGGAATCTAATTTCTTAAAACACAATCACTTATTATCAATTCTGGTACCTCCAAAGAATTTCTAAGTTTCTTCTCACACAGGAGGAGAATGCCCATCTTTCTCCCAAGGGCAACTGGTACATTCAACCTTGGGGTTGGCAGTGCACTTCCCTTATTCTCGAGGACACCAGGGACATGATCAGCAATTGAAAATCCCATGACTTTGGTCAGGTTTACTTTAGCCTTTAAACTCACATCTTTTTGGGTTGGGGTTGTTTGTGTTTTTTTTTTTTTTAATCTCAATGCTTAGATGTTAGGGAACATATTTTGTCAAGGGACTATACATCATGAATTTGCTTCAGTATTCCCACTTTCATTTTGCATTGTTGTTGGGTTTTTGCCATCGATTTGGAACCAATTCATAACTGATTCTGCAACAGGATATCAGAGGCTGTGAATTGCACAAGAAGAGATTGCCCTTCTTTTCTCCATGGAGCAGCTGGTGAATCGAACCACTTACTTTTGGGTTGGCAGCCTAACTACCTACCAGGCTTTGTAGTTTGCGACTATAAAACTTGTAAAAAAAATAGTGGTGGATTTTGTATTTGTATTTTTCTCATTTGGAAATCTTGCAGATTTGACTTTGGAACTAGAACAATGTGATTAGTGAAAGGAATTGATTCTTTTCTTGCCTTTTAAGCCCCTATGATATGAGGTTTAGCACATGATTCACTTGCAAATTTAGCGAACTATGTGATGCTCAGTTAAGTTTATTTGTTTGAGGTATTTTCCCCTTGGATTTTTTAGTTAATACTTTCCTAAATTTTCATATAATTTTTTCTTTATTAACATGGTGCTGCAAATGACGGCAAATATGTTTCTAAGCACAGTCATCAATTTAAAAATGTGTGACAATTACCATGGTGACCAAAAAAAAAAAATAATAAAAGAAGCAAAAGAGAAGAAGAAAAATTTAAAAAAAAGTGTGCGGCAACGTGTTAATATGTTAGACTTCCATATAGTTCCAGAGTTAAATTTGTAAAATCCTCTTCTCCGTCCATATATAAAGATATTTCTTCTTCCTGTTTACAGAGTGTTTCATCTTAAGTATATGTCATAAATTATTCAATCTCCTCTTGATGGATAGGTTGCTTCCAGCGTTTTGGTGTTATAAATAGGCAGGTATTTTTGACATATCTTTTTAACTTTGCCCCAATAGAAAAACAAAAACTCTTAACTAAATAATAGTATTTGGAATATTTAAAGAGAAGATCCTGACTTTTATCAGTAGACCTTTTTGAGCATTATTTGTGAATGAACAGTAGAGAAACATAAGAAATTAACCTTTTCCTAAGGAGACTTTTAAGAGAATGTAACTTGAAATAATTAACTAGAAATACAAAATATCAGTAAACGTAATACAGTATAATGAATAATTTTAGTGTTTAAAGATGAGAGAGATGAATAAAAATAGAGATATTAGGAAATAATTTTTTATATGGCTTGAGATTCACCTTAATACCAAGGTTGGCATTTACATTATTCTTTTTTTTTTTTTTTAATGCCATTATTTCACTGTATTTGTGTAGAGAATTATTTTTCTCTTGGCTTTTATCAAATTCTTTTAAAGGGATTACTTCTGAAAGGAGGATAGCAAGCTTCCTCTGATTGGAGGTTCTTTTTGTCACACTCCAGTTTGTGTGTTACATAACATTTGTTGTTGTGACTGTTACTGTTGTTGTTATGTACCGTCAAGTCATAGCCAAACTATAGTTGACTTGCTAGCAGGTTTTCAGAGGCAAATAATCACACAAGAAGAGATTTCCCATCTTTCCCCCACTCAGGTTTCCCAGTGGCTAGCACCCAGCAATGTAATTACTGTTGGATTTTTATTGAGGTGTCTTTGAGATTTCTATCATGAGTTGACAGGCATAGCTAAAAGATTTCTGCCTACTTTTGTTTTCCAGGACTAGTCGTAGTTGTTACTAAGACATTCTTTTTTGTGAAATTGGGTTCTAAACAGGGATAGGCTTTCATTCACTTCCTCATGTCTTGCCAATTTCTCCTGTTCAGTTTCAGGCAGCAACCCAGCAACCAGTGATTGCTCAGTTCCCAGTGGTGGCCCAAGGAGGCTCTCAACAGCAGCTTATACAGAATTTCTATCAGCAACAGCAGCAGCAGCTGGCCACAGCCCTGCATCAGCAACAGCTAATGACTCAGCAGGCTGCCCTGAAACAAAAGATTGCTGTGACAGCAGTACAACAGCCCCTGGTTCAGCCAGCCACCTCACAACCAGCCCCTGCCCAGGAACCAACAGTAAGAAAACAACCAGGGCTCAGAATGTAAAAACAGAAGAGTGTGTAGTGAGGACTAGAGAAAAGAGTAGGAAAAAGGGAGCAACAACTTGTGAAAGGGACTCTGGACTCAAGTCAGACTGTTTACCATTGTTGTAGTTGTGTGCCATCGAATCGCCAGCAACTCATAGTGACCCTATGTACAATAGTCCTACACTCTGTTCTATCTTGTGCCAATTTCATTGTCTCTGATACACCTACCCCTATTTCCCCAGTCACTGAATCATTCGATCTCATCGAGGGTCTTCCTCTCCTGTGCTGTCACTCTACCCTCCCAAGCATGACGGCCCTCTCCAAGGACTGGTCCCTCCTTGCAACATGTCCAAAGTATGTCAGACAAAGCCCTAGAATCCTTGCCTCTGAGGAGCAGCCTGGTTTCACCCTTTCCAGGAAGAGCCTGTTTTTTTCTCTTAGCAGTCCATGGTATAGTTAATACTCTTCTCTAACACTGAGACTCAAAGGCATTATTTCTCCCATAGTAGTTAAATAGTTGGCCCTTTCTTGCTACAGTCAAGGTAATATATTCTTTGAGATGTAGAGATTTGGACAAAATAAGTTTTCAGCTACTGATAACAGTGAACATCCTTAATTATCACTCAGAAATTAGACTGACAAGAAGTGTAGATCATAGTGGCAATGCCAATATTGATTAGTCAGAAGCCTTGCTAGTATTGAAGCTAATCCCTTTACCTTCTCCAGGAAGCACTTTGAGTCACTGTGATCTTTCTAGTTTCTAACAGTTCGTATGGGCCCTCCCCTCCACCCTGACACCTGGCAATGTTTATTTTTTGTCTTGAATAATATTACTAGCAAAGGCACCTACCATACAGTTCGTTTCAGGGGTCTTCTTGCCAGGAATAGTGTGCCATAGCCCAGTTCCCGTAAGCATTAGAGGATCTACATATCAAATTATTTGAGCCAAAGTGGCTCAAATCTTCATGGGCATATCTCCTTCAAGGTGTTGCTAAATAAAGCTTCAAACCCCCCTGTGTCCTCACCTGATTGCCCTCTGTAGTTTTGACATCTTCAGGTACATAGTGCTTTAGCCTTAATAAGTAGCCTTTACTCAATCTCAAAAACTCAGGAACATTTGTAAAATAAAGTCTTTCAGCCTAAAAACAAAACCAACCAACCAAACAAAAAAAAACCCAAACACCATAAACTCGAGAGCTCTGAGGTCTGTAGGGAGTTGCACTGCTAAACCAAAGGCAGCATCTCTGGTGTTTCCAATCTACCATTAACTCCTGGGAGAAAAATAGGCAGTCTCATTCTCCTTCCATGTGATTTATAGCCTTAGAAAAACCAGTGGAGAGTCAGCAATAAGTCATGTCCAAATACACAATGGCAGTAAGTTTAAGATTTTTGAGTATTACAGTATACACATATATTTCTGCTTCTCTGTCTAATTTTATGATGATAGAAAAAAATATTGTGTATACCCTGCCAGTAAAATACCATTATTTCTCTCTTAATTCCTAAGGAAGTCTAACTCATAGATAAAAGCAGTAAAAATATAAGAAATCATCTTTGGAGGACTGATTTCTAGTAGAATTTTGTCACCCATTTTATATTCTTCCAAAAGGAACATTCTATATTCTTTGAAAAGGAAACAGTGTCATAAATGGGTTATCTTCCTTTAAATCACAGCCGAATATATGTTCAGTGTCTTTGCACTCTTTCTTCTGAAATAGCTCAACTTTCCTGGAGGAGTTTGGTAAACAGCTGCACTTACATTTTTAACAAGGAAATTTTTTTCTTTTTAATGAAACAAAAAAATATATAGTATGTGAGATGGCTGGAAGGGATCTTAGTGATCTTGTCCAATATCCTCGTGTTATGGATTTGGAAACTGAGTTCCATATTAGGTGATTGCCTAAGACCGAAACTGACATTACTGTAGCTAAGGCAAGAACCAAAAAATCCTCATCTATATTCAAGGACAATAATAGTAAATACTCATCCAGAGTAAGGAAATGATCAGCAACCAGTAGGCTACATATCTTGTGAATTTCTCCTCTACTTTCTCTCGATTCATCTGTTAAGAATCCTGAATCTTCTTTCAGTGAAAAAGTAGTTTGATCATTTAACTCTGAAGTAGCTGGTGAGGACACAGATTGAAGAGGAGCCGGCTGTACTTTGACCAAAGCTGAGTATTTTTCATCTTTGACCTGTCTTTTTCACAGAAGACCCTTGGACTTACCTAGAATTCTCTAGGAAAGCAAAACCGATGAAGCTTTTAAGTGTGTCTGTGTATGGGGGGGGTGAGGGGGGCTGAGAGTATATTCAGATCTGTGAGTTTGTATGTATAAAGAAAGAGAGACGATTTCTTTTAAGGAAATTGCCTGTGCTTGTAAAGGCTTTCAGTGCCCAGATTTGTAGGTCAGAGCTCAAGATAGAGATATCTGGAGAGGCTAATGAGTCCAGGTCATCAACATGCTAGCAGTGTTTAGGCTGCTGGCTTCAGAGTCATATAACATCCACAGGTCTTCCTGGGAGAATGGTTGCAGATACTGGCTTTGGAAACTGACAAGTCTCCAAAGTACAGTAGGCCACTTCTTCAAGTCTGGAGACTAAGCCAGATCCTCAGATGCAGATCAGACAAAAACCTCTCTAGCTTTTTTCCCAGAGTTCAAACATTTATCGCAAAGGCAGTTCTATTAAGGAGACCTCCTCTTAATGAGCTCAAACTGATCGTACCTTTACCTACTGGCTTCTAATCCCACCTCACTCTAATATCATATTTTTGTTGGATGCCCTCTAGTTGACCACAACTCATAACAACCCTTTGAACAGCTAATCTGTACCCTGTCCTGTCCTGTGCCATCCTGATCAACTCCAGTAAACTTGAACCCATTGTTACAGTCTCTTTGTCAGTCTATCTTGTTGAGGCTTTTCCTCTCTTTGAATGACCCTGCTCCATACCAAGCATGATGTCTGTTTCTGAAAATTGGCCCCTCTTTACAGTATGCAATAAGTATTTAGAATGAAATGTCACCATTTTTGTGTCAAAGGACACCCAAGTTATACTTTCTCCAAGGCATATATGTTCTTTTGATAGTCCATGATGTTACATACTCTTCTCCAGCACCACAATTCAAAGGCATCAGTTCTCCTTCTGTCATCCTTACTCATTGTCCAGCTTTCAGATGTATAGTAAGTAATTGAAAAAGATCATGAGTTGGGTCAAACACACTTAGTCTTTAAATTGCTCCTTGGAACTTAGGAGAGTTCCTTGGTATACACTTTTTCCAATGTGACACGTCTTTTGATTTTTTTTTTTTTTTTTAGTTTTGTGTTTTATTTATTTAAGAAGTTCAGGCCTTGACTACATATTTCCACAGTGTGTACAGGCCCTCTTTTCGCTGCTACTTCTTGGTCTTCAGGTTCTCCTCATGCTTGTTGAGCCTTCGGCGCATGGCACATGTTTTCTTGGGCTGCAGATCCAGGGGTCTGTACTTCTTGCCCTTATAGTATTTTCTGAGATTCTCCTTCTGAATCTGGTTAATAACAGTGAGAACATGGGCAATGGATTTTCGCACAACTTGGATTTTGGAGAGCTTAGAAGCCGCACTGCCTGTCACTTTGGCGACGTGCAGCTGGGAAAACTCCACTTTCAGATCCTCCAGCTGTTTCAACAACTCCTCCTTCTTCTTGCCGGGAAGGTCCCGAACCTTGATTTTGGCCATGGCTGAGCGATAGAACCTGGCTGCCGCTTGATCCAAGCCCAAGAGAAAGAGCTTCTTTTGATTTCTTTTTTTTTCCCCCATGATGTCCTCATCCTTGATTTCTTAATTGCTGGTATCAAATGCTTAATTATAGATCCAAGTAAGATCAAATTATTGACAGTTTGATTCCTTTTTCCATGTATCATGATATGGCTTATTGATAACTGGTAAGGATTTTTTTTTTTAATGTTAAGATGTATTTTAAAGCACTTGAGATCCAGAAGGTTAGACCTTTTAGCAGTCACTTCGGTGCTGAGAGCCTCTTATTTAAAAGAAGCCCAATTTGCTATTAGAGGTAGAGCACTAAGTTGTCGGGTTGTAGTATTTGGAGAATACATTGTTCTAATTGATACAGCATTTGTCAGTTTGCTCTACTGAGATAACTTGTGGGTTGCTGTTATGCTGAAAGCTAGGCCATTGGTATGTCAAATGCCACAAGGGTCACCCATGGTGTACAGGTTTTAGTATAACTCCCAGATTAAGACAAACTAGGTAGCAGGATAGGCCATCCACTTATTAAATAACAGGCCTCTGGAAACCCTATGAATAGTAGAGGAACGTCAGTAGTTACAGTATTATATATGGAGCTTAGATTGGAAGTCATTCAAAATGAGGAAAAATAGTGACAAACATCTTTTCATCATTGAGTAGGGTTGCAAGGGGTCAGCAGAGGGAATTGGACCATCAAAGCATGAATGTTGGAAAACTAGAAGTTGTGAGAAATTAAGTGGAACACATGAACATCAACAGTCTAGGTGTTAATGCAGTGAGATCGACTACCTCTGGCTGCTTTGAACCACATAGTATTCTGTGCCGGGAATGAAAAGCACAAGAATAATAATGTTGCATTGATAGTAAAAAAAGTCAATTTCAAGTTTTATCCTGAAGTACAGAGTTGTATTTGAGAGGATATTATCCATACACATACAAGGAAGACCTGTTAATACGACTATTACTCAAATATATGCTCCTATATCTAATGCCAAAGAGGAGGAAATTAAAAATTTTTATCAAAATTGACCAAACATGCAATCAAGATGCATTAATCTTTTAATTTTTAATTTGTTAATTGGTGGCTGGAATGCAAACCGTGGAAACTCCCTTTGGAGCATAGTGTTCCTCTCTAAGGATCAGTCCTTGCTGCATGCCCAAAGTATGTATGATAGAACTTCAAAATCCTAGTCTCCAGGGAGAAACATGGTTTCACTCTCTCCAAGACAGAACTATCTGTTTTCTT